CAGCTGTGTGCTGGAGGGTCAGCTGTGTGCTGGAGGGTCAGCTGTGTGCTGGCGGGTCAGCTCTGCGTTGGTTTTGGCTTGACAGTACTCAGCAACAAGAGCCCGGAGGTATAATGCATAGCATTTGCGTGACCTCAAGTCAAAAGGTCAGTGGTTTGAATTAACCAGCTGTTGGGTGGGAGAAAGATGGGCAGACTTTTCTCAAGATTTATAGCCTCAGAGACACAGTGGAGGGTCCCTCTGAGTCAGAGTAGACTCATTTGTAGTAGCTTGGGTGTGTTGTGTGGTGTTTTTTTGTTTTTGTTTTTGTTTTTTAAAAAAACAAACCCTTAATTTAGAGCAATTTTTGTATCATTTAAATCCCTTTGCTGCTTGCCTCCAAGTGCCTAAAGACTTGGATGCGTTTAAAATAAGCATGACATGGTGAACACCTGACAGTTGTTATGCTTGCTTTATGGGTTTCACATTACCTTGTTGAATGTTGTGAACTCAGTTTTTATTTTTAATTTCTTTTGGTGTGTACCAGCAAAACGAATCTGACTAGTACAGGAGGAGATTGCCCCTCCTTCTCCAGCAGAGCATCTGGTGGATTTAAACCGCGTGAGCTCAGTTTTTATAACTAGTTACTTATTTTGAACATAAATGTGAAAGGTGACTAGAAAAGACAGACACTTTTGAATGAAAAGAGAACAGTGTAAAGTTCCCAGGATCTGAACTCTGCGTCATTTTACATCATATTTAGTTTAGTTCAAACTCCTCTTCTGTCCAAAATGCTGTTTTCATCAGTGTCACGTGTGTTGTCCTCTTAGCCACTGATGAATTGACCCTCAACTCAAGGTGGCCCCATGTGCTGTTAGAGGGGAGAACGGCTCCATGGGCTTTTCTTAGCTGCAGTCTTTAGAGCAGCAGATTGTCGGGTCTTTGTTCTGTGGAGGTGCTGGGTGGGTTTGAATTGCCAGCTTTGGGTTAACAGCTTGGAGCAAACTGCTTGTGCCACCCAGGCTCCAGAATGTCAGCAGCCGGGCTGCACACTCACTCTTCTTTAAAACCACGCCTGACCATTTCGTTTCAGTTCTTGGAGAGGCTGACTATCTGCTCTTGGGAGAGCCAGGCCATGTAGCACTAAGCAACCACACGGTGTCTGTGGAGTTTCAGCATTTTGGTGGCGCTAACGGGACCCTGAGGAATGTATCCATCCTGCTGTTGGAGGCCAGAACCAACCAGACTGTTACCACCAAGTACCTTCTGACCAATCAGTCCCAGGGAACACTGGACTTTGAGTGCTTTTATTTCAGAGAAGCTGGTGACTACTGGTTCATGATGTCTCTAGAAAGAGCGGACAATAACACTGTACTCCCTTCATGGAAGAAGAGTGCCTTCCTGAAGGTGGAGTGGCCAGTCTTTCACATCGACTTAAACAGAAGCACCAATGCAGCGGAAGGCACCTTTCAGGTGGGCCTTTCTACCGGTCAGCCACTGTGTGCGTTCCCTGCCGACAAGCCTGGCATCTTGGTGGAGGTCACCTTCACCAACAGTCTTCCTGAGACAAGAACAAGTCAGGGACAACCCCTGGAAATAAGATCCAGCAAAAGGACAGAGCTCTGTCAAGATCAGTGGCTGGAGTTTGGCTGTGCACCTGTGGGGCCAAAAGCCTATGTCACTGTGGTGCTGAAGCCGCTTGGCTGGGACTCGGTCATTTCCTCTGCTGGACCCATTGACCTGGCTCAGAAATTTGGATACAAACTGGTGATGGTGCCAGAACTGACTTGCGAGTCTGTGGTGGAGGTGATGGTGATGCCTCCACCTTGTGTCTTTGTCCAGGGAGTGATGGCTGTCTTCAAGGCGGCCCCCCGACGCCCCGGGGAGAGGCCAGTCCAGCTGGCTGAGAACAGCCTGAGTCTGGGAGAGAGGAGGACAGTATTTAACTGCACTCTGTTTGACATGGGGAAGAATAAATACTGCTTTGACTTTGGTAGCTCAAGTAGAAGCCATTTTTCTGCAAAGGAGGAGGAGTGCATGCTAATTCAGAGAAATATAGGTAAGTACTGAGTTTTTGTTTAAGTCATCAAATTAATACGTAATCAAAACTATTACTTAGAACTTGGAAACAACAACATCCCACCCCTGAAACTCATTGCTATCGAGTCAGATGGGACTCATAGCTGACCTTCCACTGGGTTTTCTGAGCTATAAATTGCATGAGAGGAGATTTCCCACCTTCAAGATGCTGGTGGATTTGAACCACCAGAGAAGCATGGCCTTGGGTTTAGAAGCACAACTCCCTATAGACTGTGCTACTGGAGTTGGACTTCCTTTTCTGTCAACTCTATCATTTTTGTGGCTCCCCATTCATAATGTCCCAGCTGGCATTATCATCCTCTGCAAAATTAGAAAGCCAAGCTCACTTCTGTAATCTCTCTAGATCTGTTTCCCCATAAGGAAAGTGAAGATAATAAAAATAATTATATCAGAGAGGACTGAATAAAATAAAACATGTGAAAATCTTAGCATGGTGCCTGCTATACAGGAAACCATCAATAGAATTATGTTATTACATTATTTTCAAACATTGTCTTTCATCACTGGAGATATGATTAGAATCCAAAGTGAAATCCTAAACTGAAATTTAGGTTGTTTGGGCCTCATAACTTCTGCATTCTTTTAGCTGACTGTATCTCTTTCACTCAGTCATTATGAAGCCTCTTTTTTCTTTTTTTTCTGGATAAACATACTTTTTTTTTCTTTCTTCTTTTTTTAAATTAAATTTTATTAGTTTTAATGAACATTTACAGAGATTTTGGGTTTTCATTCATTCATTGTTGCACTGTTTTCCCCACCCTCATCCCCAGTTCATTCTGCTTCCCCCCCATGTCTGTTTTAATTGTCCAATTGCCACAGTGCTTGTCAAAGCCAGTTCTGATTAATCTCCTTTGTCAGTGTGTCGCTTGCCATTCCCTATCAGTCCTCCCTGAGAGAGACTTCACCCTGATTCATAAGGAAAAGGGGATGGCGTATTCTCTTAGCTACTTCCTGCTGAAAAGGGACACTGTGGGTTTCAGGGTGAGTGTCTTCTCTCACTACTCTAAAGGGCCCCCTTGGCAGTAGGAAACACATAGATTATTATGGAGATTGATTTTGGAATTTAGATGCACTGTTATCAATTGTGCTTAGCCGTACATGTTCATATCCTTGAAGATGTATCATGGAAGTATTGCAGCCTAGAAGATACAAATTTAACTAACAAGTTAAAAGTGCATGAGTCAAAAATTGAAAAGCAATAATATTCTGAGTAGAGGTTCTAATAGTGGCACTAATCAAGTTACAGAGGTAAGGTGGTTCCATTGCCTTCCTTACTCTAACTTAATTCTTTTTTTTTAATTTACATTTGTTATTAATTTCAGTGAAAATTTACAGAGGCTTTGGATTTCCATTCATTCATTGTTGTAGATTTGTCCCCTCCCAAGGCTCCCCCCCACCAGACATTACCCTCTTGGAAAAGTAAAAGATTCTTTCATTATTTTATAAACCCTCCCCCAGGTCCACTCCACCATGTAGCCATCGCTCTAGACTCCTGTCATGACAGAAATACCTAATCACATATCTCTTTTAAACAGTTTTCTCCCTTCTCTGTTTCAGAGCAGCATACATTATTGAACCCATCTTACTCAGTCTCTCCCCAACCCCAAGGACAGTCCCATTCTACAACAGTGGCACCATGCAATATTTGTCCCTTTGTGACTGGGACATTTCACTCAGCATAATGTTCTCCAGAGTCAACCATTTTGAGTAATATTGCATGAGTTCAATATCCCTATGCAAATACCTATGCACATCCAAAAACTTCTCCAACAGGGTACACTGACTGGGAAAAAGTATTCAGTAATAACATATCAGATAAGGGACTTATATCCAGAATTTATGAAATACTTGAGCACCACAACAAGATAAAGGTAAAGAATCCAATAGAAAAATGGGCACAGGATATGAACAGGCACTTCATCGAAGACGACATTCAGATGGCTAACAAGCACATGAAGAAATGCTCAAAATCCCTAGCCCTAAGAGAGATGCAAATTAAAACAACTTTGAGATATCATCTCACCCCAGTCAAAATGGCAAAATTTAACAGAACAGCAAGCAATAAATGCTGGCGAGGTTGTGGAGAAACTGGAACCCTTATTCACTGTTGGTGGGAGTGTAAAATGGTGCAACCCCTGTGGAAAGCAGTATGGCACTTTCTCAAAAAGTTGCAAATAGAGATACCATTTGACCCAGCAATTCCACTACTGGGAATATACCCAGAAGAGACCATAACTGACACCCAAGCAGATATATGCATGCCCATGTTTATTGCAGTTGTTCACAATAGCAAGGAGTTGGAAACAACCTAAGTGCCCATCAACAAACGAATGGCTAGAGAAGCTGTGGTATATTCGCACAATGGAATACTATGCTGCATTAAAAAACAAGGAACTCATGCAATATTACTCAAAACATACTTCTTTTTATAAAAAAAATTAACACTAGTTTATTTACAGAATTTGAATACATTGTTTTAGAGAACAGATTCTTTCATTTTCCCTCACCTCTCCCATCAAATTGTACAACCCCATGATTAACCCCGACTCGCCCTGCATCCCTCTGCTTCCTCCCTCTCCTACTTCTCTTGGATCCTTTTACTCATTCTACAGAAGAAGCCTCTTGAATGTGATTTTGAAGAAGGGGGTCCTGAAAATGCCTTCAAGTTCTGTATGCTCTGTGTAGTGCCCTGCCTAATAAAAAAAAGAGAAAGGTTAGTTGAAAGGTTAGAGGTTCAAGTCTCCTGTGATGTGCCTCAGAGGAACTGTCAGTCTTCTAAAAAGTTAGCTGTTGAAAAGCCCATGGCACACAGTTCCAGTCTGACACCTGGGGCTTTGCCATGACTTGGGGCAGATGCAAAGGTAGTTGGTGATTTTGATCATACAGAGGAGGTTTATTTACTGTTTGATCCATCCTGAAGCGTCCCCCATTTTTTCTGGATTTAGCATTGTGTACAAGTGAGTGGCTTAACTTGGCAGAGATTGTTTCCCTTATGTGCTCTTCTCGTCTTCCCCTGTCCTTCCTTTAGCCCCAGCGAGCCTCTTTCATAGGTGTCACATCAGAACTGAATTTGGGTTTTCAGAGGTGATGAATCACGTAGAAGATTATCCATCTTTCTCCAGTGGACCCACTGCTGGATTCGAACCTTGGGAGAGGCATGGCCTTTGGGTCACCAGTGCATCTCTTTACAGTCTATGACATGCTTTCTTTATCTGCAACCTCATGTGATCTCTATGGAAAGTTCCCTCCTTCTTAGAAGTCACTTGCCTTTAACTTGTTGAGAGCACTGGCCACGTTGTTGACTTCATTTCTTTACTCAGTGTAGATTCTGTGGCCCATCTCTCAAGTCAGCTACAACTGTATTAAACACTTCTGCCTGGTCGGGCCGCTGATGGGCCTGACGCCAGCTCTGCTTGAATTCCACTCCCACTGAGGTTCTGCGGCTGTGGCCTAAGGACACACGCAAGCAGACCTGCCCCATTATGGATGCATCACACCACCCCGCTCAGCTGAGCCTCCACACTTCCTGATGTGGCAGTTGGCCAGTCTGAGTTTCCGTTCTCCCCTAAATTCTTTGAGACCTCTTTCCCCCTCAGCCCTCAGCCCTTGTGTCCTGTTTAACTCTCTAATTGACCTTTCCTCCTACCCCAGCAGCTGGAAGCCATCAAGTGGCACCTCCTTCATCCTCCCACCAGAATATCTGCACCTCTGCAGTCACTGGATCATGTTCTTCTCCTTTCCTGTTATCATAGAAGAGGCATTGTTCCTGTAACATCAGGCTGGCCTCCTGGTTCCATTCATTGTAGGAACCTTCCATTAGTCAAGATTGTTCTCTTTAACAGTCCCTTCTGGACTGGGCAGTTCCCAGGAGCACTGAAGGGTAATGAATTCTTCTATCTAAAATGAAAAGAAACACCCTTCCTCAGCTCCGCATTCTCTTCTGATAGCACCCCCCTCTCTTTCCTTCCACATTTTCTTGGAAAAGTTCTGTACATTCCAGGCTTCATTTCCTTGTCTTAACCATTCGCTCTCAGCTCATTCCAAATTGGCTTCCACTCCACACCCTTGGGCCTGAAAATATTCTTGCTAAATTTAGCAGGCTGCAAGGAACTCCTGGTAGTAAGGAGTTGCACTGCCAACCCAAAGGCACTCAGTTCAAATCCACCAGCTGCTCTGCAAGAGAAAGATGGGAAGTCTCCTCCTATGACATTTACAGCCTCTGAAAACCTGCTGGAGGGTCAATTATGAGTCACCTCTGACTCCACAGCCCCTAACAACACAGCAGTCGGGAATTGGCTTCCTGGCCTGAACTCCAGGACCGCTCTTCAGTGGTCGTCTCCATCAACACTTCCTCTTTTAGACACAGTCATGTCTTGGTTCTGTGCACCATGTTCAGCTTGATCTCCTGCCTCTCTGGCTCTTCCTTTTTGGTCTCTTTGACCTGCCAGTCCCATCTCCTTATCTCAGTCCTTAAGTGTTGGTCTTTTTTTGTCCTTCTGCGCCGAGTCCTCTGCCTACCTTCACACACTCAGGGATGATCCCATCCACACCCCTGGCTTCAGTTACTGTCTTGATGCTGATGACTCCAGGTTAGTGTCTCTCCCCAGTTCTCTGCATCCAGGTGCTGCTTTCATCTCCAGTATGATTCCCAGGCTTCGGATACAACCTACCCGGGGTTAGAGACCTCATTTTACCCTCTCCGCCTGCTCCTCAAGCCCTGTATGACTCCACTGTTCAGTTTGCTGTTCAACTTCTTCTCCTTACTAAGTCATTATAGGAAGTCAGTAGCAAATGATTGTTACAGGTTTTACCTCTCTCTTTAGCTCCCCTAACATGACTTCATTTAAGCCACATTTTCCTTTACTTGGATTCTTGCAGCGGATTTCTAATTGAGTCCCTTCTGGCCCCTCCATTCTGTCTTCATTACCCAGTGCTGTGCTAACAGCAAATACCCCGAGT